AGTATTGACAGTATCTTCCATGTTGATACCCATTGTGATATATTCTATCATAAAAAAACAATTACATAGTAATTGTAGAAGCTGTGAAGATGTTCCTCTGATTCCAAGTTGATGATAGAAACATTGGTAATTTGTCCAACTCATCATAAAAATAATCCATTTTCTGATATTTTTCATAGTCCAATAGGTTGATGATATTTCAATGTTTTAAGTTACGTGGCTGATGACATAATGCTCCGTTGAAGGATTGGGGATTTATCAAAATTGTCTATCCAGAACAAAAGTCTAATGACGGTAGTTGTCGATGCCGTTGATATCGAAGAAAAAATTATTATCCATTCAGTATTTCGTACGGCTTACGTCATGAACTATTTGCCTTAAACTCAACTTGAGGGCAACAATGACGTGGACCAAAACAGCAACTTTTATAACTTCTAATTCTATTTCAGTTTGGAGATTTCTTTTTTTTTTCATTTAGGGAGCAATTCCGTTCAAATGGTGCTATCAGTTCAATAACGAAATTTCAGTTAGGATGTTCATCCAGATTATAACCAATTCGTGAATCTCTAGCAAACTTCCTAGCAAATGAATTTCAATCAAGTTTTGTTTTTCAATATCTTCTGAATTGAAATAAATGAGATAAACACAAACGCGGAAAAAATATATGTCCATTTGGCCGAAGTACCGCTTGACTTCTGATCCCTGTTCAATATTGAATATTGTTACTCATTTCGTCGAAGAAAAAGAGGTGATGAATTTGGGAAAAAACTTCTCTCAAAAACGCGTTTTTATAAAATGTGAAAATCTAGTGAAAATATCACAATCTCATTAGTGAAAATCTCACAATAAACTGTTTTTTGAATACCAACTTTGACGAATCGATATTGTTCGGTAAAAATTCTTCAACTTCGCAACCAACTGCTTTAGGGATTCTTGTTTCCTTTCCTGAATGTCGATTGGGTCTAATAAAGATTCCATTGATCACATTCTCGTAATGAAATATGTCATCGCTTCTATTTATACAGGCTTGCATTTAAAGTATTGTTTAGTTGAACAATACAATCATTCTTTAGCTCAGCACCACTGATGAGACTCAAGGGGGATTGAAATAGCACTGTCTCTAGTTTCAACTAGTTGCGTTTCAGTAGAAGCTGCAATCGAAGACAGATAACGAATCTCGTAGGCGCTCGATGTCGAATCTTGGCCTCGTTCATCTTTAATATTTTTGATTGAGAATTCGGCTCAGTCTATCAACGGAAAACCATTGCAAAACCTTCACCTCTCTACGCGAAGATGCTATCCTTCAATTTTTTTTCAACGAAAATGGGGCTACGTAATACCGAATTTTCAATTTCCAATCTGATGCTAGATGATAACATTTGAAAGTCGATATACTTTTTTGAAAGATATGGAGCTTCGAACTGTCAATAATACTTTTTCTCAAGAATGTAAAAGTCAATTTTCCTTGAGTATTGTCAGCAAATTAGATTGAACATTGATGTATTGGAAATCCTTTCTCAAAATTAGATCTCGATGAAACGTGCGTCAATCGTCATTAACCTCCATTTCAATTAAATCGAAGGTTATTGGATTTGGTAGAAAGTGAAAAGCGAAACAGACGACGCAATTAAAATAGTTTCATGAATATTCGTACACAATTATTTGACCCCTGTCGATTTATCCTTTCCTTTCTTTCAATTTTTTATATTTTTATATATTCTGTAGAATCTTTAATAGAAACTGAATCGAATTGATATTATCATTCCTTCATTCTTTTTTCATTTCTCATCGATGGTTATGTATCTTCAACTAATTGTCAAATTTTCAGGGATTTGAAGCGTAGTATTTTGTTTACAGAGGAATTATCTGTTATCATTTTCAGTTTCCATTATTGAAGTGAGTAACTGAACTTTTCAATCAATTGAATAATAGCTAGTTCTGATATGACAATAGCGAGCCGCCTTGCCCTGGCTTCGCACGGATGACAGACCATTTTTTTTTGTCATAACTTGTGAGTGACGGCCCCTTGCATTTTTTCCATCGCACGATAGTTTGGATTTTGCGATATATTCTAAGATATTATTTGAAACTATATAAAGTGAAGGGCAATGCAACAAATGTATTTCATAAGATCTGGAATAGTATCGTATCCGTCTGAGTAGCTTCCCAATGACCACATGATACATTATTTCAAAAATTATTAAGTGCATTAATAAGTCTCTTCGAAAGACACATTATAGAGTGTGTGAAAGCAAATGGAATAAATCATTTATTTCGGGGGCGGGACATATTTTAACAAAATCCCGAAACAAGTAAAATGTAAATTATAATTTGATATTCTTCAACGAAAAAATGCCACCTCTGCCTTCAACCCCCGTTGAATGACAGGTTCAATCCCAAATTTTCTAAATGGGAAGTATAGGCTTGTGACATGTTGTTTGAGAGATCTCTCCATTCTCTATTGAGAAATGTTATCGCTTTTGAATTTAATGAAACAATCAAGATAAAATAAATTAAAATCATGTGGTTACCGAAATTCGATAAAATATCCGTCTGAGTAGCTTCCCAATGACCACATGATACATTATTTCAAAAATTATTAAGTGCATTAATAAGTCTTTTCGAAAGACACATTATAGAGTGTGTGAAAGCAAATGGAATAAATCATTTATTTCGGGGGCGGGACATATTTTAACAAAATCCCGAAACAAGTAAAATGTAAATTATAATTTGACATTCTTCAACGAAAAAATGCCACCTCTACCTTCAACCCCCGTTGAATGACAGGTTCAATCCCAAATTTGCTAAATGGGAAGTATAGGCTTGTGACATGTTGTTTGGAAGATCTCTTCATTCTCTATTGAGAAATGTTATCGCTTTTGAATTTAATGAAACAATCAAGATAAAATAAATTAAAATCATGTGGTTACCGAAATTCGATAAAATTCCTTCAAATTGCAATATATAAAAAGTTTATTTCATATTGAGGTATTGATAATAAGAAAGTAAGCAAACACCATAGCGATGTTGTTTTTAGATAATATCCTTTAAAACACTTTAAATAATTTTCGTGGCAAGGTTAGTTTGAAACGCCTTGTCAACTTGTTTTGCATGTTACAACATTAGTTATCAGTATTTTTATTTTTAACTTTAGAGTTCGTTAACTTCAAGTCTGACAAATGTTTAGATTAAGATGCATGAAATGACAGTTTTACAATTGATCAGTTACGGAGATAAAACCCGAACACAACAGGAAGTAGCTCGCGTACACTATGAGGAATTTCCTAATTTACTGCCCATATCTCAAGGAACAATAAGCAAAATAGATTAGCAGTTTCGCGAGCTTAGTTATGTGGGGCAGATAACAAAAGCAGCTACCAATGCAATGAGTGATGAACTCAAATTGGATGTGATGCCTGAGTTTGAGGAAAACCTACATACATCGAGTAGACAGGCATCCACTACATTCAATGTTAGCCATATATCGATAGTAAACATATCAAAAGAAAATAAAATGCATCCCCATTAAATGATACCTACTCAGGAGCTCTTTGAAGATAATTTTGATAAAAAAACTCATTTTTGTGAGCAAATGATGAACATGTTGGATAACAATATTATCCAATTAGAAGATGTTATATATTCTGATAAGTTTACTTTGTCTCTTAACGGTTATGCAAAATTGCCACTACTGGTCAACGGAAAATCCTCACTGGATGAGAGAAGAATTGTGGGAAACCATATCATTGGTCCTTTTTTCATTGAGGTCAACTTGAATGACGATATTTATTTGGCACTACTTTAAAATGATGCCATTCCAAGTTTTGCAAGTGCATATCCTAATCCAGGGTACCCCCAAGTTCCAGTGAATACGATATGGTTTCAGCAGGATGAAGCATCACCACAATGCCAAGTTGTTGTCCGGCAATACCTCGATACAACATTTCCAATCGGTGGATAGGGAGGCGAGAATCGATTGAATGGCCAGCGCGATCACCAAATCTTTTATCGTTGGATGTCTTTTTATGGAAATATGTAAAGGGCAATGTGTACAAAACTAATTGTTCAGATTTGAATGACTCCAAAGAACGAATAACGCTTGCGATTAGGTCGGTCACGCCTTATATGTTAAATAATGTTAGAAGGCAATTTTGTTTGTGATTAGGATGTTGCCAAGACGTTGGGGGTGATCATTTTGAATATCTACTTCGTTAACATCCATTTTTTTTCGTATTCTACAATTCATTACGTTTTGCATAACATCTTGGTTTTTGAGTATATTTTATCGAATTTCGTTAACCACATGATTTTAATTTATTTTATTTTATTTGTTGCAATACAGTTGAGAGCGATAATATTTTTAAATAGAGAATAAAGAAACTTTTCCAGCGATATATCACAAACCTATACTTCCTATTTGAAAAAATGGGTTTGAACATGTCATTCGAAGCGGGTCGAAGGTAGACGTGGCATTTTTACGTTGAAGAATGTGAAATTATAACTTACATTTGAAAGATTCCAGGATTTTTTTGAATATGTACATTAACAAAAATGATGAATTTATTTCATTTTTTTTACACACTGTATACCAATAGAAAAAAATAGTGGTCTGTTTTGTTTGTTATACCACATGGGCTGAAAAGTCTCGGGTCTCACACATAGATAGCGCTAGTCTCATTGCAGTGTGGCTCTTGATGGATATTATGTTGATGGATAGAGCCAACTTTGAACAAGAAATAGCGTTTTCTTTCTTAGGCCCTGGACTTTTCAGCCCATATGTTATCTTGATGAAATCGGGCAGCGTTTTCGATGAAAAATTTTTGATTTCGCACAGACAACAATAACATAATCCAACCAATTCATACAAAAAATTATGGATTGTATACATGAAACTTCCTTTCGAATCACTGAGTCCAATAGTGAAAACCATATGGAAATCTTTTATGTAATTGTAATTTCATTGCATTCAGAGAAACACACAATAATATTTTATTTTCCAGCCTGAAATTATCAAAAAGAGTGGTTACCCTTTCATGGAATATAAAGTTAAAACGAATGATGGATATTTCCTCACTGTTTTTCGCATACCAGGTGTCGCGTCCAGCAAACCGTCTATATTTTTGATGCATGGTGTCCAAGGTACATCTGCAATATATCTTGGTCTTGGTAAAAATTCCCTAGGTGAGTGATTCATTTTTTTCAATTACAGAACTATAACTCTAATTTTTGACTATTTGGTCTAGAAGTAAATTAAAGATTCCCATATTTGTTCCTATCAAGACAATTAGAAAGCCAAAACTTTTCTTTCCTGAAAAATACACCTCCTCGTAGCAAAACACTTGGATCAGATGTTGTCGTATCTAATGAACACTTTGCTATGCGATTTTCACTGTACACTGAAAACCGCAATGGGTATTTCACTATATGACAGCTTATTCGAACTGTTTGTGTCGAACACATCTGAAGAAGGTTTTATATTGCTCCAAATACAATTTTACTCAAATGAGTCATTGAAGTGCTTCACAAATATAGTCATGAAAATCCATCACGGACAATAACATCCTTTTAGTCATTGGAAAATCAATGTGGTTTTTTATTTTGATATTCTCAATATTTATCAGATTCAATTATTCAAAGATGTCATTTCTATTATTCTCATTGGACATTTGAATTTTTTCATTTTTTAGTTTCCAGAAGATTACTGAGCTGTATATATCAAAAAATATTTGCCACTCACGTTTCATCCTACCAAGACGTAGGTATTCTTAAAAATTATTGAATGGTTGCTAAAGTTGCAGATTTTGAAATTTCGTTACAATGCTACTCGTGCTTTTTTTTCTTCAGCTCATTTTGGTCCTGACAAAAAATCAGTCGATTCAGTTCATTATATCATTAAGCAACACGAATATCATAACGAGATCTATAGAACTGTATCAGGAATAATATGTGTAAGGTAGGAATCAGTTTCAGCTGACGCAATGTTCGCCAAAGTTGAAAGTTCTGAAAATATATTGACATTTTTTTCGTTTTCTATTCTGATATTCGTCTCCCCCAGTACTGAAATCTACACGATGGATATCGTCCAAATTGAATAACAGAGGAGGACTCCATCAATCTTATTCACTTTCATCAACCAGAGTATGAGATACTAATTTTCAAAAATCGAGGCACACAAGTGTCTCCTCAATAACGTGAGAGTGGCAAAAATGGTAACCTAGCAGTCGACGGGTCAAGTTATGTCGATGGATATGAGCTGAGGGTGCATATGGACTACTGAGAATGCATATGGACTGAGTTGTTCATTGCAGTTTTCATGGACTCCTTACTGAGTTTCGATGGAAAATTTGAAATCAGTATCGACATATACTTCAGTCTCAAAAACTGGAACGATTTCATCATCTTTAGGAAGAAATATTTCAATTTCTGCTCCCACTTGGCAGTGGAACATGCAAATGAGGGAATCTGAACTCCTGATCATTTTACAGGCTCCAGCTGCACTACAACTCAAAAGTCCACAGGGAAAGTATTACCAAGGACTGTATGATTTGACATACAAACTTTCATAGGGATGAAATCATGAATGACGATGTTCTAACCCTAGAGAATATACGTCTCTCCAATATCCAGATGGTGTAGGATGCATTCGTCTGCAAGCTACCAACATCCAGATAATATAGTGATACCCACATCATCCTCATTTGAAGGTGATTTGTCTATCCCTAATTCCATATCAATAGTATACATATACCGACAGCAAATATATGGAGGTTTAAAGCACCTTGTGGCATGTCCTATGCATGGTGTCCAGAACTCATCACGCGATAAAGCTGAACTGAGGTGCCAAAATACCATTTTGCCAGATAATGATGGATTACTCAGTTCCCAACTGGCCCACTCGACCTGAAAAAGTTTGGTATGTTGATGAGACGAAGCTTTCAAAGTTATTGAGAAAACCTCGTGCATCATTTTCGTGTGTTTCCGTAGAACTGAGTTGATCTCTGCGGTTTTTAGGTTGTCTTTTGACTGTAATTCGATAATAGAGTTGAAATCAGTATCAGTATTGATGAGCCGGAGCATTCAAAGTTGTTGAAGAAAATCTAATACATAGTATTATCCTTGTGTTTCCGTAGGACTGAGTTGATCTCTGCAGTTTTTATGTTGTTTTCTTACTGCGATTCGAAGACAAAGTTGAAATCAGTATCGGCAGATCCTTCAGTCTCAATAACTGAAACGATTTCCCTCCAATTCCTGCTCCCTCTTGACGGAGAAACATGCGGACGAAGACATCTGAACACCTGATCACTACACATGTTCCATTAAGTATTAAGTACCATTCTATGGTGCACACACTTCAACTCAAATGTCCACAGGGACTGGATCGTTTGAAATATAAACTCCCATAGGGATGAAGTTATGGATGACGATGTTCTAACCCTAGTAAATATATGTCTCTCCGACATCCAGGTGATACAGAATGCATTCGTCTACGAACTGCATATCTCCTCAGTGATACCCCCATCACCCTCTTTTTAAAGTGACTTTTCTATCCCTAATTCCATATCAATAGTATGCATGTACTTCTCCATTACACTTAAAAACAGACAAAGACCGTTTTTTTCCAAAGGTATAGAGTTTGAGGTCATCCATATGGAACAAATGGGTAACCGTATGCCTTCAGTTTCAGTGCCAGAGTTATATTCTCGAAATTCTCAGATCACCATGAATAATGACAATGATGAGATGCAGGAAAGATAAAGCTTCTCTTAACTGTGGGATGTGTGATCACTCAACCGTGGGATGTGTGATCATTGAGTTTGAGCTCCCAAGTAATGTAGAAAACCAATAATGTCAGTTTTGTCCAACTGAAATCTTGGTGGCCTTGAGGAGGTCTAATCAATCAAGAAATTAGAGAGTAACTGAAGTAACATTTAAACACACACTATGATCCGAACAACCATTTGAACTGTGTAATCTGATCAGATTCTGAATATATCATTTACATTCTCTTTTTTTTCTGACGATATACGCTCCACTTGAGCTGAACATTTCACGAACAATATCACCCTACTTTGATGGCCACGAAGAACTTGTCATGCTTGATAGCTGGTATCTGCCCTAAGATGAAAAATTAGTGGTTTCAATGAAATCGGTACCTCTCATTTTCAACATTGGATTCCATATCTCCTGGTGTCTCATCAACATCGAACGAAGGAATTTCACAGATGGATAATATAGCATTTGCAATAGTACATTCCGCCGAAAGGTATCGACCAAGTCCATATGCTGACAGCAAATGAATAAGGTCTTGATAAATCTTCTGGTTTCCATTCCAAACCTTTTGCATTTGAAGAAACTGAAAATTTGGTATTCAAAACACTTCATTCTGAGATTTTCACTAAAGAGTTTTACAAAAGCGCAACACGCATTGCGCTATACAATAGCTTCTTCGGACGTGTCCTTACTAACTGAATATACTTTTTTATAATATGAAGTAGCTCAATTTCAAGTACCTGAGTTTTACCCAGCCAAATAATGTTTGATGAATTCTGAATTTGTAATGAATGAGATGACCTGAGCTTATGTACCAATTTCCACATCTGAAAAAGTATTCAGTAACAGCGAGTTATTTGATTTTATTTGGTCATTAAGTAAATTACCCAAATTCTTGAATCCATTCTTTCTGAACATTCTGATAAATTGAGTTTCAAATTCGCTCTCATCGCCAAAACTTAGTATAACTTCCATCAAATCAGGATCCCAGTTACTTGGAGGGGAGATCATTGAGAAAGAAAGATTATTGTTTCTATAGAATGTTTACAAAATGCAGACCAAAAACATCCTAGTCCTTGTAATTTTGATGTTCGAAGTGATGATAACGATGAAGTTGCTCAGTTAATTAAGGTTCACTGAACTATTTCAGTTAGCATGTTCTCTGAGTTGCAAATGAATCATCATATTTCATTTCAGAAAGGTCAATATATTGAAATAGTTTCAGTAATTTTATATCTTCACATTTTATACTGTTGTTTCCTCCTCTGTGAACGGGAGTAAGGAATGAGTCATTGTTATGATGAATACAAGGTTTTTCGTGACATTTGGGAGAAAATAAAAGGCTGAAAAACAAATGAAATCTGTTTCAGCCTTTCTTTTGTACGAAGCTGGGTACGATGTTTGGCTGGGAAATTATCGTGGCACTGAATATTCGGAAGAACATGAAACGATGAACACCACTCAACGGGAATATTGGGATTACAGGTAAATTTTTATTATATTCAGTTTCTGAGCATCGGCACGGGCCAATTCACGAGATTTATCAGATGGATATATTAGTAGAATTCAGAAAAAAAACACTGATACTTTGATGTGCTCAATATCATCAGAAGTATTTAAATATCGATCTGAATACTCGAATAATTGATTTACTTAACTTCGTATATTTTTCACAATCTTTTTTCCCACTTGCACCGTTTGTATGTATGTATCTTTATATAAAATTTCAGGACAAATCTTGCATTTGCGCGACACGTGTTTGGCTATACAATGGCTATTCGGGCGTGTCGTTGAAGTACAGTAAATACGCCTGAAGAAGCCATTGTATGGCGAAACACGTGTTGCGTTTTTGTTAAACTGTTCAGTGGAAATCTTATAATGGAGTGTTTTGTCAATATATATTCAAGCTAGACGTAAAATGTACCTGTGCAAATGAACAAGAATACAATATGTAACGATTGCAACGAAAGTAAATCTGAAATAAATATGATTACTTTCAAAAGGTAGATCTTGCGACACACTTTCATATTGTATAAATAGTGCAATGTGATAATTGATTGACTGGATCTGGTTTTCAGTTCATGTCTTTTTTATGGAGTATGCAAATGAAGTCTTGTTTCAAAACTTTATTTTTCAAGTTCAGAATGAATGAACTTCAGAATGAATGACACGAGGTAAAGTCGATCATTTCATTTTGATTTCGGGTCTACCGCATTTCAATTCGCTAAGAAGGAAAATGAAATTTTTGGCTCTCTTTCCCAAAAATAATTCCCTCCTAAAAGTATACCCCTTTCAATTTTGAAACAACTCACATAAAGCAATGCTCTAATATATTCAATATCGTTTTTTATTGATCAGATATTTCACGGCCGTGTTCAGGTAAGATCTGGGAAATAATGACTGGAAATAGAACAATTGATTCATTAATTCACAAAATGCATTACAAATTAATTCAACCACTGTTGGCAATGATATTAACATTCAAGACCCATTACAAATTCAGTAATGCATATAAAACCAACTATCTTGCTGTTATTCTAAATAGCTGTCTACTTTCTTGATGACATTTTTTAAAATTACATTAATAAATCCTAACCTACATATTTGCAAGTGGCTTTCTTCAATAAAGGAGAGACTGTGTACGGAATGATTTCCGTCTTTCGCATGTTTCAGTATATCCCGCCAATTAGATTTCTCTTGCTTCAGCCCAATTATGCAATCATGAAATTTAAATTATGGTTCTCTTTTGGAACCAGATGATTTATTAAAAGGAGTGGCTATTATCGCAGGTGAGACATATAATATAAATATTCCTTGTCTAATAACAAAATTAAAAAAATTCTGCAGTGCTTCTAGAAGTGATTTATTTAAAGTAAAATTCTCAGCTATATTTTACAACATGTGATATGTACAATATAGTTTACAATTACTGAAAGTTGCTGATGCGTTTTAGTAAATTCAAAAATACTGATTACTATGTTTTCCAAATAACATTGCAGATCCATGTTTTGTTAGGCTTGTAATGAAAATAGGAGTAAAAAATAATTGGTACCTACGAAATCGTATGACTGAGATGAAAAATAAAAAAATATATTTTAATTCTCTCAATTAGATTCCCTTATGAATATATTATACGTAAATGCTTCATTTTGCATGAGGCAAGAGCGATAAACTTGAAGAATCCAATCCTAATGTAGCCAATGTAGTAATGACATCTTGTGTGACATCCCTCAATTAATAGTTAATTACTTTCTTTTGAAAGATGAGGAGTTCTTCAAATATCACTATCAACTATGATTATTTAATGAAGTATGAAGTACCAGTCAATTTTAGAGCCTTATTTGTGGAAAATGTGTTCTCAATAGATTAATTGTGCGCTAGAGGTTCAAATTCTATCTATCAAATATACAGGGTGTCCCTGGACTTCCTCTTTTATTGAAAAGTTATCAAAGAAAAACATTTTTCATTTTGTAACTTCGAGGGCCCGTAACTTGGTTACGAAGACTTTTAGGAAAAAAAGTTATATGAAGTACTGGTGATATTTTGACCCCATCTATACATTCCCGAGAGGAAAAGAGGAAGTCCAGGGCACCCTGTATAATGATAGACCAATTTTCCAAGATACGATCGTCAAATGAAATATTTTCTCCTGTCTTCTCTGAACCCTTCTCTTGCAGAATAAAAACTCAAAGCTGTGCCTGAAAGAAAGACGATAACAAAAGTTTTTTTTTATGAATGAATTATATTAGAAAAATTTCGGTTGTTATCAAATAGTAACTAACGCCTTTGTCCAATTGTAGTTAACGTATGAAATAATTTTTCCAAAAGGAGCCTTCTTTGATCCCTAGTCACATTTGTAATCGATGGATAGGATCGCACCCCGTCGAGTAAGTCGAAGACTAGGAGAATTGAAAATATGCTTGAATATCTGAAGGATTTTTTCTCCTGAACGCATAAGAAATATTGGCAAGTGTTTTCGTCAACCTACCCTGTATTATCAGCAAGAATCATGTTCTCCGCAAAATCTGTAAAAATTTAAATTGATTGGAAATAACGAGAAGAAAACCACATCATATTGCCTTGTTGAACAATACAAATCAATTTCTTTATTTTTCCAATTCAAATATTTCAAATATCCCAACCGCAAGTGCAGTTTCTGGAATTATGGATGAAGTCGGAATTCTACATTCATAATGAGCAAAAACGTGAAGGTTATTGAACGGTAATTACCAAGGTTCCTTATTCATGTTCAATGTTGATAACGAAACAATTATAATATATCAGTATAGTCAATAAAGGTTCAAAATCAATATGTACATGTTCGTTATACGCTGCTCGTTTTTCAAAGATGATTACAGAGCTCTCGAAGTTCTTTCATGTACGTTGTCAAAACTCGTTTTTTGCAACTCTGATTAGCTGTACTAGCATTTGATAACGGTTCCATTCCAAACATCAGGGTTGAAAAAGGCAACTGAGTGAAATTATGAATAATAAATAATCAACACACAGATGGAATTTCCCTACTGGAAAGAGAAATCTGAAGAAGAAATATTGTTATTAAGGGTGTGAGGTGTAATAAATCAAAGAAGTTACCAGAGAAGGGACTATGGAATACATTGAATTTAGTACATAAAATAGAAAGTGCAAAAGAAGCATAAATGAGTGACGTGGGAGTTACTCGTGAATAAAAGGTCAGGATGAATTTTTTGTATGAAATGAATTAGTTGAAATACTCAGCAAATTAAATTACTCATAGAAACAAATATTTGGCTAGAGCCAGATTTCAACTTTGATATTGATATACAAATTGCAAATGTAGTAGATACTGAACAAGGTATGACTCCTCTCTGATATAAAGAAGATTCTTTGCATTTACATAATCAAAATCGTTATGTTTACAATTATAATTTACCGGTGAAAACCATGTGGTTGAAAACTAAAGACAGAGACAAAGAACATGTGACACTGACAGCTGTCATGTGATTGAGTTTGAAAAATGTGTGTTCGTTTGTCTATGTTGAAACTATGAAACAATAGAAAACAGTTTTGGTGCAAGTATGATCAGAATCATCCGGTGATATATAAGCCAGTGAATGAGAAAATGCAAATGCATTCAAATGCATCAACTTCAAATGTAATCAATTGAAAAACACCCTTATTAGTTTAGTGGAGAACACCTAATGGAGGAGTGTTGAAAAAATTATTATGAATTATATTATTGAAATTTCTGAATTGTTACTGGTTTGAAAATGATGTGAATTTTTATCAATATCTAATAGGAAGGCGTAGATTTCACTGAAGTGATCAATATCCGATATTCTATTAGGGCAGTTATTTGATCGTAACATAAATAACATTTTAAAAACAATCGATCAGGTGCATTTCTTTCATTCGCAGAAATTTTTGTTGAATTGTAATCCATTTTATGAGCTTTTTTAAAGACATGATTACTGAGAGCACATCTCTCAGGATTCAATCTACTATCACTTTTGTGTAAACTGATTCTATCTTTTAGTTATCTCAACTTTTGACCAATATATTCATACCATATGAAATAGAATAATTGAGATTGAAAATCCATAGGAGTTTTATCCTTGAGTTTTGAAAACAATTTATTGATGGTTAATATGGTTCTGAAAGCTATTTTTACATTTTAATTTTTGAAAACTCTGCATAACTTAGGTGTAATATCACTGGTAAATCTACTAACAAATCTACTGAAAAATCTACATCACTAATAGGGGACAGATGGCAGAAAGCAGGTGTATGAAAATGGGCCACAAACTACAGCGGTCCTCAAAGCCAACATAACCCATACCATCGGTCAAATTCAACTTGATTTATGTGTCAGAGTCACAGAAAATTGGACGTTTCGGATGTGCTTCACCCAGAGAAGCCGTGACGGACATTTGCACGGTGTTATATTCCACAATAATGGTACGAGTTGGGCTTTCAAACGAATAAAAAACTTTGATGATGTCTCACGCACTATGTTCTATTCAAATACAAAGATATGAACTTCATTCATGAACTTTGTGAATGGTTGACCTTTTCACAGATTTTTCCTTGTAAAGAATTGTGTCAAAGAATTTTCTAGGATATGGCTGAGGTATGTGGATGATATTTTCGCGATTATCGACGACAAAAAGACTTTGACTTGGTTCCCTTTTCAAATAAAAGCTTTCCATTAATAAAATTTACATATGAGTTAGAAAGAAAAGGACAACTTCCATTTCTTGACGTTTTGGTAATGAAGAGCCAATATGGAGGGTTAGAATACGATGTATTTAGACAGTTCACATCACTGTGGACAGCACAAACGTGCTGGGAACTATTACATAAGGACACATTGTAAAATTACTTTAAGACAAGTAGATAGGGCAATATTTTGAAATTGAATTTTATATAAGGACACATGTAAAATTTATGTAAGATTGGTAGATAAGGCAACATGTGACATTAATTTTATGTAGCTCATAATATTTCAATTATTAGATTCACCTGACTATTACATAAGGGCACATTTTAAAATTAATTTAAGACAAGTGGATACCTAAGGCAAATTGTAAAATAATTTAAGACACTCAAGACGCAGGTACCTGAACAGGTATATATGGTATAAATAGGGAAATCTTTGTGAGTATGATTAGTTTGATCTTCCTCTTGAAAATGATCACTTGGTGATCGAAACACTTGTCGAGGTGTTAAAATAACGGTTTGGTGTTGGAAAAAAAATTCAGTAATATTCACTATTCTTATTATCAAATGAACGTTATCAAATAAAATTGGAAGGAAAAATCATTAAAATATTCATTTTTACTCTTCATTACATCAACTTCGATATCGAATGATCTATTCATCATTTTCACTTTCAACTACATCATTTCACAGACAGTTATTTCAATTGTTAAAAATTTTTCATTGCAGTGTACAAGACATTGCCCTTGAAGATATTCCGACCATGCTACAGCTTGTCAAGTATCACTCGGGACACAGAGGAAAAATCATTTACATAGGCCATTCTTTGGGAACAACTACAGGAATAATGTATGCAGCAGAATATGGACAAAGTGCAGCCGATACTTTGGGTCTTTTAGTTTTGCTGACACCTGCATATAAACTGCCAAATATGCGTTCACCTTACAGGATTTTCTTTCCGCTTTTAAATCCTGCATTAGTAAGTGAAATTTGTGCATTTTTCAGTTAACTGTTCATACAGGGTGTCATTTTAAAAACGTCCAACGTCATCTTTAGAAGTGACATTTTCTAGGCTGATTTTCATCTGAATTACATTCTACCGGAGACGGATACAACCTCTAAAATATTAAATAGAGAAAGGGTTTGAGTGATAACTCGTTATCGTTTTGCGATAAATCTAGTGAAAACTTCATCAAAAACATTTTGTGACATTATTTCGATAAATTGAAATGAATAAAAGGAAGTCATATTCTATAAGAGTGAATATTCAAAGTATTTTCAATTGAAAAATCTGCACAAATGTTAAAAAAAATCATAATATTCCGTTGAAATTATAATTATCAACACAAACAAGTATTTTTGTATGAAAATCACAGATGACAGGTTAGTTCAAATATTGCCAATAAATAAATGAATGAACGTCACTCTATATTTTGATTATTCCACAATTTTTTTCAAATTTCACAAGTTGAATATGATTCACATGCCGTTGAAAAAAGGGACCTGGTGGAGCATTTTCGAGTTGATTGTTGAATTAATTTTCATTCATCATTCCCGAGTCCATTTCTGTTTGTCAAAGTTACTTTATTGTAAAATGAGTTTTGCGAGTTGAAAGTTAACTGTTAATTGTATAATTTTCACTAATAGTGTCATTACTCATTCAAATAACTATTATTATTCTACAAATTTTATCGAAATTAATATGAAATTATGAAATACCAACAATAAATAATTAGCGCTCCAGGGCGGCTTGAAAAATTTCAGTGGCGCATTTGCTTTTTCAGAAAGCCTGGATAAACCTGCAGCACCACATCATCTGAAGATTTTGATCTGACAATGTTCTCTTTTTCATAGAATAGAGTGAGAAATATCAAAGATGTACAAGAAGAACGACAATAACGTTAAAAGGAGAATACTGAAATTACTTGCTTGGGGGAAACTATTCCGTCACTGACAAAAAATGAATTGAGTTACTACGTGGTAGAAAATCATTATGAAGAAGAGACAATTGGGACTTTCTATGTTTTTTACCACTTTTTTTGTAACTTACGTTACTGCAGTTTCGTCCTATAAGGACATTTTCAATGTCCTGATAGGACAAAACTGCAGTAACGTTAGTTACAAATAAAAGTGGTCAAAAGCACGTAAAGTTTCACGAAAAAGATAGCTGTGTTCTGGATGAACCAGCGCAAAAAGTCACTTTTATTGCAGAACCCTCCACATCACATCTCATTGTTGCACGTCAAGTAGGAATGTCTAAAAAACAGTTATGAAAGCCCTAGCCATAGCATCAACGTTTGTTGGTCAAACGTTGATGGCTGGTCCTGAAAGACCATTCCCTGAAAGTGGCCGTCGATGAATATCTCTCGACCACTTTCACCATCAACGCTGGTGTTTCCCACGGATCCATATCGTCTCCAACCCTCTTCTCTTTGTATATTAATGACTTAGTGGAACAACGAAGAATCCAATATATTCAATATATTGGTCGGTCGATAGCCAAGCGGTTCGGCATGGGTGCTTTGTTCACTCACTCGAATTGACTGCCGTGTTGGTCGGTGGTTCAAGCCCTAGTCTGAACGATCGATCTTCACTTGCTATCGTCCAACCCGTGTTAGGAATCACACGTTAAAAGGTAAGACCTCGTTAATCCTTAGCTCGCACAAGTTTCGACTTCTGAGGGTTGTCGTTCGTAGGGGTGCGACAGCTGGTTAACGGAAAAACAGATTTTAAACAGATTTTATTGCTGACGACAGCACACTTGTCTCGTCATTCCATTTGGATTCCAGAACGTCGGCTACGAAGACACATCTTTACCGGTCGCAGGAGCTTGCATATCTTATTGAGAATCTGGAGGTGATTTTGAATTGGGGTGAAAGTAACCAGGTTCCATTTTATGTCACAAAAACCAGGCATCGGTTTTCTCCAAAAAGATAAATGTCTCTGAACTGAATATATTTCTCTTTCTGCTTCGATGAGTTTGTTGAGGATTAAAATGGACACCAATATGTCTTGGCACAATCGCTTGGAACACTGTGGTTTTGGTTTGTTGAGGATTAAAATGGACACCAATATGTCTTGGAACAATCGCTTGGTACACTGTGCCACTGAAGTATTGTCCTCATGTATGGTACTCTACCCCCAAACATACCCTGAAATAGCTGGATTCCATCCAGAAAAGGGCCATCCGCCTTCAAGTGACGTGGCACATTTGACTCCACCAAGAGCGGTACATATCAGACGGATTGTAGCTGCTCATCATTTTGAGGTTCAACTCAGCACACCTCGAACTTCACTGTTTGAAAACTCTTTCATTTGTAGAATTGCGTTTATGTGGAATAAATTTCCTGTACATGTTTTTCCAAATGGATTTGATCTCCAGCGATTGAAATCCAATGTGAATCGCTACTTTCGCACAGGCACCGTTCTGAGAGCGCCTCAAGAATTTTTCTGTAGTGCTTGTGTTACGTTGGACTTTGAGAACAGACTTTGGAAAATAACATTTTGAACATTCACAAAAATGAATAGCTTTTCATAAATTCATTATGTTTCATTGCGTAACACTTGAAACTCAAATATTTTACCAGTTTCACCCAATTTCTCCAAAAGTAAAGTTACAGAAAAATTGATATCCTAAAAACCTTCTCTATAAAAAATTACTTATACATGTCAAATTTCATCACGATCGGTTGAGCGATGTAGAAGTTTATCACTTACCAACAAACCAACCAACCAACAAACATCCATTTTTATATGTTAGATATTATAGATGGATAGATAGATATACTTTATTGGCTATTTCACACGGTGGTTTACAACACGTCACATTAAAAAGAATAATTCGAAAATTTTTCTACACTATAAAAACAATGTTTCAGGAGTAGAACTCTCACATTAGCTTCATTCAGGGAACGCACTTCTGAGCTCAACTTGTTATAAAGTATCAAATTGAGGAAATTTGACTTCAACTTATTTAGCCTGAAAAGTTTTAGTGCTATTTAGTTTGCTAGTCTCGTGTCGTATTTGTGAAGATCTGACGAACCAGTATAGTTTCCTTTGTTTGAGTGTATTTCACAAAGGGTTTGATATATGTAAATGCATGGTAGTGTCATTATTTTCATGTCAGTAAAGAGGGGACGACAGTGTTCTCTCAGTCCGACTCCAGCCAGAAGACGAATAGCTCTCTTCTGTGATCTGAAGATGTTTGGCGCATTGCTGGAATTTCCCCATAGACTGCTTCCATAGTTAATACGCGAGTGAAACAAAGCGGAATTTATTTGCCTGAGTGATTCGGGACCTACAGCATATCTCAATTTTCTTAAAAGAAATATTGTACTGGAAAGCTCGCTGTTCAGTTTTTGAGTATGATAGTGCCAGCTGAGAGTGTCATCGATTGTACTTCCAATTAATACAGGAATTACATTATTTATTTGGCTTCCGTCATTATTCTGCATTATTCTGCCATAGTTAAAGGTGGACCATCCATCACTCAATGAAAATAGTATTATACCGAATATCTACAAATATTTCAAGCAATAGAATCCTTTTAACATCCAAGAACATAACTTCAGAGAGTTTTACATGAATTTTACTTTGAATACGAAAAATTTGGTAGACAATCGATGTTTGTTGATTTTGAAGATATTGTATGTTGGAAAGGAGACTACCTAGGAAAATAAATTGGAGAGATAACAAAAACATTTATGATTTAGACGAAAGTTGGGTTAATGAAGGACATTCTGAAGTAAGAGTTCGGAAAGGCAAAAACACTAAAACAGCTCGAGAAGCATTTCTACAAGGATGTTCAACTGATCTCAAGGAACCCACCGGTAAGGTTCGACGACTAGTTGTTACTAATATTGGTAGTATAAATGGATTTCTCTAAGAGGGTCTACTCTTGTTCTAATGAAAAAAACCTCTGATTATCACGAAGAGATGAACGTAGACGTGTTTGAAGAATATTTCGAACAAATGGTTGAATTCATACCTAAATATTCAATAATGTGATGGACAGTGCAAGTTACCACTCCAGATTGGTCGAACGTTCATCAGCAACTCAATGGAAGACAAATTGAATTGCAAAGTGTTCAATTTCTGAAGAATGTATCTTCAACGATACAATGACAGAAGCAGAATTATTAGCCATTGCCAACTATTCGTAAACAGAACTATAAAAAATATGTCGTTAGGAAGAGGAATCAATTATTTATGAAAAAAGTTTAAATCACGTTTATCCATGTCTAAGTGAAAAACAACATGGGTGTTTACCTAAAAGGTCCACGATAACTAACCTGACATGTTTTATATAAGAGGCAAGTTGTCGAGAATAATAGTCAACTAGATATTATTTTCACAGAATTTAGTAAAGACTTCGACAAGGTTGATCATGAGGTTATGTTGAAAAAACTATACACTTTTGGGCTTTCAGATCGACTCTTGAAGCTGTCAGCTTCGTGTCTTATAGACAGAAAACAGTATATAGTTTATAAGGGATGGGATACAGAGGATTTCTTCACAAGATCTGGTGTACCCCAAGGGTCCAATCTAGGATCCCCCTTTTTTTATTACTACTAAATGATCGGCCAGAGGTAGTTCAGGACTCGTAATGTGCACTATTCGCAGATGATTTTGAATTATTCAAGAAAATCAAAAGTCAAGAAGATGTGGTTTTGCTACAAAATTACGTAGATAGAGTTTACGAGTTGTCTCTGTCAAATCGCCTCACATTTAATGTTGACAATTGCTTTAGTGTGTCAATTACTAGGAAAAATCTACAGAATGATTTTCAGTATAAGATTAACAATGAATATTTAGCCAAGAAAACAAAATGTGGACATTTGGAAGTTACGCTGGATAAAAAACTCACTTTTGATCAACATATGACCAACATTATGAACAGAGCATATAGAATGCTTGGCTTCATTATTAGGAATTCATTCAAATTCACAAAAATATAATCATTACTAACACTTTATAATGCATTTGTCCGTAGTATNTTCCAATTTGTTTAACAATGTTGCCGTGCCTAACGAATACTCTTCCATTCCTAGACCAGACAGCATTCACTCCAAATTTCTTTTTGGCATCCATCTGCAGTTTATAATTATGTCTAGACAAATCTTCATTGATGTATATGCCTGTTCCTTTCAAAGCCGACCTGGCCCGGTACACTTCATCTCTTTTCAGGAAGGAAATGAACTGTACTATGACTGTTCTATGTTTAGACTGATTAATCTCACCAAATACTTTTCCAATCCTAAATAGATTATTTAATTCCCATAAGGCACATTTTACATGCAATGAGTCATTAATAAGAGTTAGTACCTTGGATGTAAGATTTTCATTTTGCTCTTCTTTTATTCCTGTTAGTCTCAGAGTATTTAATTTCAAACTCTGCTCCATAATATTCTGCCTTTCGTTCACCAAATTAACACCTTTATCACTTGCCTGCATCATTACCTCCATTGAAGATACCTTTTGGATGACATCATTCAGTGTGATCTCCATGTTCCTCAGTTTTTCGTCCATTTTCTCGCCAAGTTTCTCAATCAACTTTGGTGCTAATTTGCTGATCATAGTATCAATTGTTTCATTATCGAGAGAAGTTGTTCCAGTGTTACTCCGTCCTCTTGTTCCCATTTTGAGTAAAATATGAGGTACAGTTCTGGCAACAGTGCTTTAGAGATTTGGAATGACGTGATCGATTGAATACAAAGTTTATCAATCACACTGTTAAATAATATAACATTTAATTGTTCTCTTTATGCTCACTTTTCCCTACTGCCAATATATCATGCAGATACCAAGTCTTGATAGGAATACCACTTAAACTGCCAAATAACCACGAGCCCCTTCTACTAGATGTTCACACTACCATGTCTACCACATGCATGTGGTGTATATTGAAATCAAGAAAAAGTATTATTGTTGTGATTTCCAATACAGAAGTTATGCCAACTCAAGTCATTTCGAATAGATGATATTATTTAAAATTAATTTCTTGAAAATTAAATTGACTAATTGTTCCTTTGATATTATAATCTTTCAAATACAATGCGATTTTCATCATTTTTTCGTTACGTGTAAACACTAATTTATGAAGGTATGTTCTATCGAATTGGCTAATTTCAATGCCACTAATTCTTGTAATACATTTTTTGGATTCAATTGAATTTATACCACTGATATAAAAATATATTTCTCCAGGAAACTGTACCTGTGTATTTCAACCAAATTCCTGCTGGAACATCGCTCAAAACTCTGACTTACCTGAATGAAGCCACAATGAACCGCTTCACGAAATACGACTACGGTCCTGGAAAAAACAGATACCTATACGGATCTGATACGCCGCCCGAATTTGATTTGAAAAATATCAGAGTTCCAATATACATAATGTTTGCAAGAAATGACTGGTCTACTACTAGAAAGGTGAGTGAAATGAAATAGTTTTTGTTTCTATGCATAAATGTTGGGTTAGAAAAAATGAAGACACGTTTATGGAAAACTGAAATAGACAGAAAAACTAGAACGAGAAAAATGTGGCACATTTAATGAAATGAAATATTTCGCTAACATAGTTCGGATTCTGCCAAAGAAGTAGTTTTCGAAGATATGAGGTTGTGTGGGTTAGGTTAGACAGAGGTGTAAGCCGGTGCATTATCTTGGTGGAAAAACACTTTTTGTTTCGTTGAATGGGTCCGTTCGTTCTACAATTCGGCATCGAATCGGTCCAATAATTCGGCATAACCCTGATACCTTTTTTCTCTTCTCTAGATATTCGATGTAGATCACACCTCGTGAATCCCAAAAAACGGTTATGTACCAGTGAACGCAAAAACTCTTTTGAATTGCGCTTAAACAGTGTCAAATATTACTCTGAAGTGGTCTCACTATTTCGCTTGTTGTCCGGAGTGAGCGACAGCAGCACCCTTCGCGCCGACAGCTTTCTCTTGCCCAAAATTTCATGCAGGATATAATCGGCGCGGTATTTTAGAATGCTCACTGTCTCAGCTATCTTGCGCATCTTCAATCGGCGGTCTGCTGAGGCTGATGCCGCACTACGATTTTCCCGCAAACAGTAAACCGTCAAACCGTTCGAGACGCACACACTACGGTAGAACGAACTAATGAAATTCATCATGAAACATTGTCAATCATATAATGACAAAGTAAAACAATATGCTGAATACCTACTCTTCGGAAAAGTAGAAATTAGTAGGAGCATACGAACAAAATATGCTCGTAAAGACCCCATGAAACTTGAGAACAATATTATTATGATAATAATACAATTAATGCTTCTATTATTGAACTAATTACTATTAATCACTGCCAAAGGTATCAATTAACTGTAAACTTGTGCACCGACATTCACAGTTTTTTTCGGCTTCAACTGATCCAGACAATTTTAGATATGTAGAACATAATCATTAGGTATTTGAATAATGTTTAGGAGAATTAATCATTATACTAGTATACGTAACAAGTAATTATATGAATATGCCATTGAAATGCTTTCATCTAATTTACATGTGTCTAATTTACGTATCTGGTGAATATTTGTCGGAGAACAACTCCTTTCTTGACATGGAATTATACCCCATAGACATTCATGCAAGTTACCTCACAGAAAATAATCTCGTAGATGCTTATCGATCTCAGAATAGTAGTTTTCATATTTTCAAATTAACAATTTCTGTTCAATAAGTTGATTCTGTCAGGTCTCTCAAAGTTATCAACTCAATTAAAATTAAAAAGACAAAAAATTATCACATAATTATCTCCATTCGTTTAGAGCGTACCGTTCCACGGCCTAGTTACTCTCTCGATTCACAGAATTTTTACGATTTTTGCGGATGATACCACGCTCCTTTGGAATGGAAAAATATTCCACATATGAAAGAAAAGAAACTATCTATAGTGATTTGGAAGTTGTGATAAAAGATATGACGCAAACTATATGTGCTTCAATGTCATGAAAATACAAACCTACCCACCAATCCAAATTCCTCGGAATCTTCATGGATAACAATACGAAATTGTAGTAGTTCAGACTTCCTAGTGTCTAATATTATCTAATATTATTTGAATTCTCCAAAAGAATAAATGAAGTTGAAATGAACAGCTAACAATAATATCAAGCAATAAACCGCGAAATTAAATTACAATTAAATAAAAATGAGGGAAAAATTAAAAAATGATACAAATAAAACTGAAATAAAAATTGAAAGTTTTCAAATCAAGTTGCTTCACTACGTTTCGATTGTTTGTATCCACAATCATCTTCGGATGATGACTCATCTGCTCCTCCAAGAGATGACTATTTATAGGTCATTTGAACGCTTTTACCTTTTCTCTCTTTCATCTCTCTGGTTCAGTGGAAGTTGACCGTTTGGTTGAAGGTTTTCATACGCTATTATGTATATCTACACTAGCTTGGCTGAATGTTTCATTGGAAAACGTATATGCAGCTTCTTTGAACTTCCTCTTAAACCAGTATTCCTCATCGCGGATGATCTCAGCTTGGAATCACTTGGTACTATGATGATGAGTCCAAACATGATCTGCTATTATTTCATTAGTTCGGACTTCCATTGTCTAATATAATAACTAATATCAAAAATAGAAAATATGTTTGAAAGTCTGGCCTTAGTGTCCCAAGAATGGCTGAATACAGAATCCGGGTCATGTCGTCAGGGGACGAAAGCGGCCGGAAGTTTCCCAGTCAGAATATGGTCTTCAGATTTCTGGAACAGTTGTTCGGCTGAGACTAAACCATACGTTTGTCTCAAGGAAAATGATATAAACATTTCTAGAGGGACAGTGGGACAGGTACTTTCCCGAAAGAAATCCTACGAGAGAAATATGAATGAATATTCTCATTTTTTAAGGACAAAACACAAGCATTACAGGAAAATCCTTGAGGCGTTCTAAAAGCGGTGACAAAGATGGGCCAACTCTCATTGGAAGTAGATGGAGTTTATGAAAAATTGCTTGAGAAACTAACCTTCGAGAGAGGAATTACTCTTCAAAATGGTTTTACATTATGACACGAATTGAATCACATAGTGATGTAGGTGCAATAGCCACACGGCAATTTAAATTCAATTCAGAAACTTTCAATAAAAAGCAATTTACCGAGACAGATTGGTAGGCGTCTACAATCAGATATCACATCACCTTGGTAACTGTATCGATGAACGAAATATAATGATAGAGGATAGCATGATATAATTTATTTTCGAAATTCAAATAACTGGCGTGGTATACCATCTTCTATGAACCGATTGCAAATATGTATGATAAAATTTTACAATTACTTTCACAATCATATCCATTGACGCCGTTGTTAATCTCTCCGCCATTGTTAATCTCTCATTGCTAGAGGGGTCACCTAATAATCTGAGAGGTATGATTATGGCTTGGTTGATAGATTGATGCACCTTTTGAATAGTGGAAAAAATCTATGAAATGTTCAATATGGACTTCGATTTTCACCAGAAGTAAATTGAATACATCGATAGCGGTGAATGTCACATGATGATTTTCTTTGACTCGGATCGTACTATCGACTGCATTGAACACAATCTGCTGCAATCCAAATTGTATAACTCTGTTTGTCAGAGGTTTTTGTTTGAAAGGGATCGAAATTCGCAAGTTCCTATCAATTGTAAACAGGAAAATTGGGAAACTACCAAGATTCGTAGATGAGTCAATCAAAGACCAATATAAGATCCTATTTCATTCATTTTGTATGTTGGTGATTTGACTGTTTTTTATTGTATGGATTTTTCAGTCTATGGCGACGACAAGCTCTCTCCTATATTATAATTTTGTTGGTGGTATTGACGTACAATTGAATCGTGAAATTCTATTCTTTCATTGCCAGACTAAGGAAATTGTTTAAATATATGGACAGGAAATCAAATTGATTAGAAAATTATAGTTACCGTATTTCTGGTGAAAAGCTATCTGAGCGCACTCAAGGAGCTAAGTACCCAAAATAGGGTCACTCTAGCTTGGGTACCCGGACATGAAGGTCACAAGGGCAATGAGTAGGCTATGTTCTAGCCCGTGACGGCGCATCCAAGGCTATGATCGACTCAGAACCCTTCTGTGGAATAGCAAAAGCATATACGAAGACATTCATAAATTCACGGATGCAAGCCGAATCGATAGATTGGTGAAATAAGCTCTCGGGAATGAGGCAGGCGAAAGAGTTCATAAAAAAACCATCGCCCAGATTCACGGAAGACCTGCTAAACCACAACCGTAAGTTTGAATAGGATGGCGACCGTTGGATATGATTTCGATTGTCAAGTTGGCGGGAATTCGGTCAAAATGTTGAAGAAAACCAATTTCTAAATTGTCGACGTTTCGAAACTTTATTGTTTCATCTTCAGGACTCTGAAGTATAAGAACAAGACATACATATTGAAATGGAAATTTACAAAGCAGTTTTGTTAGAAACAAAATAAATTATGTAATATAACAATCATTAAAAAATAATAAACGTTTCGAACACTTTACAAAAAACAACGTTGATGAGTACTTACATTTAGGGCGGCTTTGCGAGTTGAAGGGTGAANTTAAATGGTCAAAAATACTGAGTGCGCATATAAGCAAAACTAAAAAAAAATATGGCTCTTCTTTGGCACCCCGAAAAAAAATCATAATACAAAAAAAATTGGAATCAGTACAAAGTATGGCCTCCACGGTGGTTTATTACGGCCCTACATCTATCGTGCATCGACAAAATGAGATTGTCAGTGTCTTGTTGAGGTACATTTGCCCATTCAGCGATTGAAAGCTCTCTAATTTCTCATTTCTTTCATGGGTTTTTTTGAATTATTGAATTATAAAAAAATAAAAAACGATTTATAGACAGTTCAGATTGTTAATCCCTTCGTGCCTGTGTCAACGTCTTTCAGGAACCTGTGTACGTATTTATATTTCGAAATTATCCACTTCACCCTTCAAATCGGAAAGCCGCCCTGAATGTAAGTACTCATCAACGTTATTTTTTGTGCAGTGTTCGGAACTTTTATTATTTTTGAACGATTGTTATATTACATAATTTATTTTGTTTCTAGCAGAACTGCTTTGTAAATTTCCATTTCAATATGTATGTCTTGTTCTTATACTTAAGAGTCCTGAAGATGAATCAATAAAGTTTCAAAACGTTGACAATTCAGAAATTGGTTTTCTTCAACATTTCGACCGAATTCCCGCCCACTTGACAATCAAAATCATAACCGTAAGGTTGTAAGGGTGGTGGGTCTACTAACAGGGCATATCCGACTCAGGAAACATGAGTAACAATTGGTCTGACAGAAAAAATCCAATGCAGGTTCTTTCAAGAAGAGGAAGAAACCGTACTGCATGTGCTCTGTGAATGCGAATCGATAGTAAGGCTGAGACACGCAAGATGCGAGAAAGAGAAACCAGAGGCTGCCAGCTATATGAAGGGGTCAGGGTTAAGGCTATGGAGTCTCATCAAAGAGATCAAGCTAGAGAATGAGCTCTAACAACCAATATGAATCACAATAGATCTGGACAACAATCTAATCTAATCTACCGTATTTCTGAGCTGTCACATTTGTCGTACATATTCAGGAATATTTACAGCGTGAATTGAAGGGGTTATATTTTTAGGAGTGATTAATTTTTTTAGAGTTACTTCTTTGCATGATCTACACATTCATGTATAGAGTTTCAAATTGATTACTTCCTTCCTTTCTTTGGAAGATTCTCTCATCCCCCTTTTTTATTATCAGATCTGACTACTCTCGTCCATAAATCAGTATCTGAAGTATCGACAAAAAATTGAAAAAATGTATTGATCACATAATGGAAATTGGGAAAATATGTGTGAATTTCATGATCTGTTCAAGTATGGTTGTTAACATTTTTCAACACTCGTTATTGAAATTGCATATGTATTATATTTGAGAAAGGTAGTTTTGAAAATAAAAAATCTCATGAAAAACAGTAGAAACCTATGATTCTATATTTTCAAATATTAACGAATTACGAATATTATCGTCAATCACTTTGTGGAATATATTCTTTTTCATATTGAATAAAACGTAGCATTTGTGAATTATGTTTGCCTATATATTTCGAAAATTCGGAAATTAGTGTTTTGATGATTTACTCTACCTTATTCTTGAAATATACTATAGTGACTGTACTCAATATAATAATTATCGATGAAAAATATATATTCATTCACCTTACATGAAAACGCAAAATGATGTTTATTCTCACTTGTATTATTTGTATCTATTTATCATACCCAATGGAATGGAAAAAAATAACACATTTTCTATTATTTGTATATCGATTCGATATAATTTTCTTCATGTTTTTAAGGTTAATGTCGTTTTTTGCAGGAAATAACCAACACTTTGAACTTAGTTCAATCAGTATCTAGTTCCAACCTTAGGAACTTAACACGTCCTTTGTGCTCTACATCGCCTCCTTTGATGCTTCTGTGCCTCAATGTTATGAATTTATTCTTAGGACCATTCACACAAATTGCTCCGGTAAGTATTTTACATTTTGCGAATAATGATAGAAACGTCCTTTTCAAGTAGTTTCATACATAGGAGGAATTCTTATAGGTATATTGGAACAGAAGTAGATATATCTCTAAATATTATCACACAGAATCAATATGAAGATAATATATACGATAAAAATAATGCAAGATTTCTGTTGTGCTGATATATTTCATTTCATGCAAAAATATTGATTTTACCTAGTACAATAGTTGCACAAAATTAGAAAGAGAAACCAGAGGCTGCCAGCTATATGAAGGGGTCAGGGTTAAGGCTATGGAGTCTCATCAAAGAGATCAAGCTAGAGAATGAGCTCTAACAACCAATGAGAATCACAATAGATCTGAACAACAATCTAATCTAATCTACCGTATTTCTGAGCTGTCAGATTTGTCGTACATATTCAGGAATATTTACAGCGTATTAACACAGTCAAATACCAAACCTTCACTACACTCAGATCGGAAACAGACCAGTGTATGAGATATCTTGTGCAGATATTTGGAATTACTTTGGATTGTTTTTGTAGTTCAAAAAAAAATCGTTCGTATCCAAATCTGACCATAATTGGCGCGTTGAAAACCTGTGAACATTTACGAATCCATCCATTTCTTTATCTGTATCTTTGAATTTAAAAACAGCAACCTCTCCATCACAAACAATGCTGTTCATAACTGAAATATTCTTGAGGATTACAGCTTTCAGAATTCATATATCTGTAATGTTACATCCAGAATTAGCGCTGAAATTCATGATGACTTGACTGACTTTCTTAAAATGTCAAAGTTTGCCTATAGAATAATGACACATTTTCATGTTTTGATATTTGTTTTGTTTCAGGATTCAATTGCTTTCTATAATACCATTCCAGAGGAAATGAGATATGGGATGCATGAAATCAGGAACCTCAACTTCAATCATTATGATTTCCTATTCGGAAGAGACTCGAAGAAACTTGTTACCGATAAACTTCTACAAGTTTTGGACCAGTTCAGTGCCAGCAGCCCCTCATACAATATTTCCACTTCTGTAACTCCATCCTAAAACTTTCTTCAATGGTATTCTGTGATTCATTTTGCGTGATGAAATAAATTTTCTTATTCATCTATTTCTATTCAGTACCGAAAACCTCTCAATTGTATGAAATCTAATATCTGCATTGAACTAGCTACTGAGAACCCGGTTGGGAATTACCTCTATTAGTATTATTATACGTGTATGTTAGTATTATACAGGCTGTAACTAAATAAGTGTAAAACATTTTGGGAGATGATTCCTCATCGAAAAAAAGATAGGATCTTTCATATAAAGAAATTTCATTTCATTGTTATACATTGGAGCATCCCTTGTTAAGGGATGCTCCAATGTATAACAATTTTTTCCACAAACACTGAAGAAGTTACAATTTTGAAATTAACCTGACGTTTTATACTACCAAAAAGACACTTAGCCAGTAATGTATTTGG